TGGTATTTACAGCTATTTATGTTAATTTCCCTTTTATTGCCCCTCACTGCTGTTGGTCAGTGACCTTTGATCTTTGATTAATTAAAAATAAAAGTTTAACGGAGTCGTAAAATAAAAAGGTTTTTAGTTCTTAGCGTTACGTTTACTGTATGATTGTGGTGAAAATCGGATTACTCACCAAGGAAAGTAATTTTTAAGAAAATTCATTGATTTTCTGTGTATTTTGATACCTTCATTGTTTATTAAAAAGCCGTGGTAGTCTAATGGTTTGAACTATCAAGTCTTATGCAGAGGTCTAGGGTTGGAATCAGGGCTTGCATCTCTCAGTTTCTCGGAATTTACGTACGAAATTTACCAAGAGCTTTTCTGCCAAGGAAAACATCGTGATGAAACCCGCACGTTGAAGAAGGTTCGCAACCCTCGGAAAAACGTGTAAAGTTCCCAATCCGCACTGTGACAGGGTAATATGGCCTAAGCCCTCGCCTGAGGAGACCCGTGGCTAGCAGTAGGACCTATAAATGGGTTGTTGTTGATAATGATGATGATGATTCTTTATTGGGATCACGTCAGAGTTTTGACAAACTTCTCATACATTATAAAAAAAACATTGCAAATTGAAACATTTAATCCAAATAAACTACGCCAAGCTTAGTGAGAATGGGTACATAGGAGTGCCAGTGCGTGTGAAACCTCAGCAGTGCCGATAAATAAATTATCCGTCCTAATGGACTAGCCGGCTCCATCCCCTAAATACTTTACTACACAATTCTACTCTCAATCTAGTCCTAGAGTAACCAGTATATTTTTAGATCATCGTAGCTATTTTAAACTTGCTATCAGATGAGATCTTAAGAATAAAACTTTATATTCCCTTTAAAATTTGAATTGAAATGTAAAGTGTTCGTGTCTGCGGGTACATAAACATTCAAGAAGAATATTACTTTTTGAAATTACAACATGTCAAAACTATAAAAGTGAAGACAAAGAACTAAGGATAAAGACGTCCATAGTTCAAATGTAAATAGGAACAAAGCTCAGAACATATTATTTTCGATCGAGTGAGCAAAATGAAAACCATAACAAATTATTATGGGACACGCGATCATGCCGTAGATTGGGATCGGAAAGTTATTCCATTAATATGTAGAATAATCCTAATAATCTCCAACGCATGCGGCAGCCGATCCTCCAGTAATGGTTAGCGATATCATTTTATAGTTCCCGCTTATAGTGCATACAGATGAGGGCGTAAACTGGTCACCGTAAATATTACTACGGATTAAATGTAATTGGTTTTCATTAAAAAGCCGCCCGGTGTAAATAAAAATACTGATTTTTCGAGTTAGTATCATTATATCTAACTGCAAACATATTATGGGTGTCCTGTGAATGGGCAAATGTATTTAAATTTAATTAATAGCTTATATTGTTGTAATAGCCTATGTTATGATTACGATAAAAACCAGATAATTATGTAAAAAAGACATGACTCAATCTCTGCCCGGTTTGATTTTTCAACGTACAAGAAAGGGCTCACTGCTCGCAAAAAAGCGTTGGAAAATATTACATCGATAATTTAGTTCAGTTTTTTATTCTTTTATTGAGACGTGTACCACTTGATTACTTCATACTACAAACAAGAATGTATTCTTGCAAACTGCAACTTCATTCTCACCTACGGAATTAATATCTATTATTAGATATTTTCGTAATTTTATAAGTTACTATGTTATTAAGCCCACAATTAAGAACTTGTGACAATCAAACATGTGTGATGTACAAATAAATCAAGCAAAATACATTCACGAATATGTAAACAGTGAACCAACTATATTATTCTATAATCATTAAGAATTAATGGCGGATGTTGAATGTTCTTTTTTAATTTTATTGCATCGGAGACAATCGGCAGAATATTCATGAGGCGTGGGGCCTACACTGCTTGAGAAGCTTTTAGAGAAAAGAATTCTATTAACATATATATTTTTCAGACCAGTTGCGTGTTGAGTTTGCTAAGTTTTAGTGTGCTTTTTAGTTTTAGACTGCAGACGTCATACTTACTTTCAATCATTATTAGGTAGCCATAATACCTTTTTAATGTGTATCTTATATAAATTGCAATCATCAGAGTTATGATTTATGGACCATTGAGCTAACTGTTGACAGCTTTACGATTTTGGAATGCATGTTTAAAATATAAACTTTTAAAATAAACTGGTTACTCAACTAATTAGTATAAGTGGTTTGAACCTATCCATATTCTGAGCGCTTCGGTGTATGTTTAAGAAGCGGTTAGTTGTTGATTGATAGATGTCTAACCGTAGTTAACAGCTTTATTACCGATCTAGCTGCCGTAAACTTGCGTTAGATTTATGATGACTCACACTAATAAACCGGGTGTAATCTATAGGGATTGACTGTACAGCACTCATCAGAAGAGAATATCATAAAAGCACTACTTAAGGTAGTAGTAGGACATAATTGTTATGGTGACTATTTATGAAACTTCTGTGTTGAAATTTAACTTTTCAAAGTGTAGGATTCGGTTATCAGTATAAAAGTGTCTTCATTACCAAAGTGTACAAAAAGCGATGAACAGTTCTCAGAGTAAAACAGAACACTAAATAAATATTCGAAGAGGTTTCTATAAGTTCTATATAGTAGGGCATATCGAATTGGCCCCGCTATGTCTGGGGCTGCGGCCTTGGCGAACGACACGGCGGCGGGCGGCGGCGGTGGCGCGCGGCGGCTCGCTGGCTGCCCGCATTATAGGATAATAGCCGCATTATCTGTACTTACCTAGCTAGTGGATGTAATTATGAACCTCATTCAGGGAAAGATATGGGTTTTATTGCGAGAAATTGAGTCATCAAAATGATATTGATTGGGTAATAAAAAACATGGCCAGTGATGTAAGGGTGTTTTTAAATTAGACGCTCAATTGCAGTCGCAGCTGGTGTGGTGCACCGAGTGCACGAGTTTATTTTTTGCCCACAATGAATGAAGATCATATTCAAGATTGTATCGATAATAAACCCTGCAATGTATTTTTTCTTGTAACATTTATTTTCGCTATTTTAACAAAATAAAATTATTTATTCATTTTGTACAACTTATGTTGGCAAAATTAAATCATTAATAACTTCAATTACCGAACGCTTACGTTCGTATGTTCCTTATTTTTTTTTTATCCGTTTTAACAAAACATGCAAAAGTAATGCTTATTCGTCAGACCCCTTCGTGTAAATAAATTCAGAGGTGAAACTAATTAAAAATTTGATCGCATTTCAGAAGCGCGTGTGAAGCGCCAAAGTCGCGCCGCAGACGAGCCACTGACGCGGAACTACAGCACTTCTACATACAAGCGTCTAATTTATCTTTGAAGCTTCAAATGGTTGTTGCATGAGAGAAAATTGTTTAGTCTCCGAGAAATATGTAATATTATTTTTATCAATTTCGTAGACTTTTTGGCGAAATATTAATAATATACGTCCGCCGGTGTTTGGACTCCTACATGTCTGGCATCGCGTCACACAAGAATGCGTTCAGCCTTGAACCTTCGCCACCGACGGCGGCCAGTGGCGGCCAGCGGCGGCCCGACGGCTATCAGACACACTGCTTGTGTCTATCACTTTTATTTTTGAACTTTTTATAACACAATTAGTAAATAAATTTTATTAACACCTCAACTTGTTTAATGTTAGATGCGAGTTTAATATTAGATACCTATACCATTTTCAGTAAAACATATGAAACGTAACTTATGCGTAACTTAAAAAAATGCAATATAAAGTCTTGTTTACCCATACCCCGAAATTTTTAACAAAAAAAAAAAACTATAAAAGAGGCAGGCAACATCCCAAGCAGCGGGTATTACAATCGCAGTAAACGACGTTAGAGAGATTGGCAATTAGCAGTGGTCGCTGGTGACAGATCGCGGAGTGACGAGGGTCTTCCTGACATTCACATAGACACTCATATGCCTTGATTGTTTATTTTGAATTATGAATATAATCTCAATCAAACTTAGCCTAATTTTGTCAAGCATTATTTACGCGATTTATTTAGCTGGAAACTCGACATACGAACATTTTAAACAACTTTTAGCAACGATGTTGTCATAAGATCCCTTGTTGTTTGTCGTCTTATAGGTGTAATTGTTTACATATTCTATAAGATACAATTGCATTCCAGTGAATTAAACTTGCTCCCTACGGACAAGAGTCGTAAAAAGGAAGGTTCGTAAATTGACAACCTTTTTGACTTACTCTGGGAAAATTGATGTAGCACAGTTTATAACAAAGAATAGTAATGGTTTATTATTGGGTTCGAAACGTATATAGTACGCATTTTCGTAAACAATGGCTGTCTATGCAATATTTAGTTACCTACCGACGTAGCCCTTTCATATTTCTTTGAAAAATGTACCCTCTACTAATTAAATAGTGTTAAAATATGCAATTTAGCAGTTTGTATAGCTTAATCTGTGGCTGACAGTACTATACAATTCGCACGAAATATATCTTTAAATAAAAATAAAAATCCTACTCCTCTACTTTGTTTACAAGCTATGTGTAAATCGATTTTCAATGTACGAGCATGAGAAAACGAGTTCTGTATGTATATGAGCTTCATAAAATTTTACATTTCCAAAGTAGCATAACCATTATTAGCATTATGATCTTATTTCGCTTCTTTTGAGCGACCCGAATAAGTAACATTGTTTCAATAATAATGTAATAATATTGAATATATTTAGTTTTACAAAGATAGATTTTAGTCTTATAAGCTCTATTCTGTACTACGGTGAACAGGGCTTTGTCTGCGACGTATGATTATCTTCAGCTAGGAGCATGTAGACATTCCAAGTTCTGTTTAAGGAGAACTCTTTAAAGAAACTTCCCCATGCTAATTTACAGCCGGATTGGAGCAAGTCTTTCATCGGCCGAAATATTTGAATCTTCCTACTCATTCCTTTAACGGATTTATTTTGCTCACAGGTTCAATCTGCGGCGGCAACTGCTGCGGACGAGGGCGTGAGTTGCGCTTGCGCAGTTCTTTGCGACGCTCGGCAGAAGCACGGGTCTTCGCCGACATTAGGCCACTGGCTGAGCTTCTGCTCTCCACTCGAAGGACTCAGCAACGTAAATACTATTTTATTTCACTGTATCTAGCCATAGGGGAGGCCTATGTCCAGCAGTGGACTGCAATAGGCTGATGATGATGATGATGATGTATCTAGCCATATGACTTACCTATATTATACTTTTAAGCAGTAGTGCACTTACTTATTTCTGCCACCAAGCAGTAATGTAAGCCGAGTTCTTAGTAGTAATGTAAGCATTACTGACTTTCAGTTTTGAAGGGTAAGAAGGGTCCTGGCGAAATTATTGGCATATGGGACTTGTCAATTTATTTATCAGGGTGACGGGCGCAGTGGCAGTGCCCTCGGATCTTTGTAATTTAATGTTATGGCCAGGCATGTCGCTTACCACCAGGCGTATGACTTGCTCGTCACTTGGTATTAGAAAAAAAATGACAAATGTGTTCTCTGAAACGTTTATAATTTGATAGTCTAGAGTAATGCTATTAAGGGATTCGAAATTACTGATAAAGAGGCGACAATTGATGCTGTATAAATTCTTTGATATTTTTGGCGTCACATGAATATGTGCGATACGGACAAAAAATAAAAGAGGAGTTTTTACGTGACTTGAATTGAAACAGTTTGAAGTTCTTTTGTTGTCGATATTTTCTGAACTAGGCATTACATTTCATGGTTGCACTAGATCGAATTCGGTTTAAGTCCATTTTATTGCTCGGTAGATACTGTAGTATTGTCCTGTTCTGAATACAAATTCTGTCTAGAGAGTTTTTAGTAGAATTGTACCTATTGACGACTTATTGCGTGCATCTTATTAATAATATTAATATCATCATTAATATTATTAATAATATAAATTAATAATATTAATGAGGAAACACGCCGTTGAGCTATAACTGACGATTTATTTACTAAGTATATGATTTTGAAAAATAGAAGTTATGACATATATATACACGTATGTGTAATATCAAAACATAGTCAGGCCACGAACTACCTAAACCCTACACCAGCTGTTTAAAATCAATAAATACTTAAGCTTTATTATAATTATTAATACAAAGATCGAACACTCAGAAAAAAATCCTTCGATCCGACCAGATTCGAACCGACGTCTTCTAGCATACCGTGCCAGACGCTATACCAACTAAGCACGGAACGAACCAGCGGACTTCACGAATTTTTTTAAGTGCATGTTGTCGTGTCTTTGTATTTGGTTTTTCAACGACTTTTTAGTCGTAGCGCCATCTATGAGAAATCTATGAAAGTTTTATCACCCAGTTAGATACCTCTGCAGCTACCGGCCCTGGCGAGAGATGTCGCTATTGACTGTATTTTAAATTTTTATTGAATTGATATTCAATTATTTTTGTGAAATTACTCCATTAGTTTGTTATAATTATTAATACAAAGATCGAACACTCAGAACAAATTCCTTCGATCCGGCCGGATTCGAACCGACGTCTTCTAGCATACTGTGCCAGACCGTATCATATCATATCAACTTATATATAGAGGGTTGAAAAAAATCTTGTCTTTTCATCTCTTCTGCTGTTGTTAAACACCTTTTGGTCTTCGCCGTCTGTGCATGCGCATATAAAAACACAACCATAGCTTACATACCCGCACCCCATACAATAATCACTTCCATGGATCAAAATACACTTCCATGAGAATGTTTTTATCCACGGATCCATAGAAGTAACCTTCACAGCAGTGACATTTTCCATTAAAATATCAAAAACTATCAAAAATATAAAAAAAAAATTATTCAAAACTAGGAATGGACATATAAATTCAGCCATGTGTTTTTGATAGAAAAACACGTTAAAGTTGCAAAACTGAAGTGCGATTGCGATTGCGTGAATTTAATTAATTTAAATTGCATCGTATATTTTGTGATTGCCTACATTTTTCTATCGCTAGAACAATCCTCATCGATATCCTTCTTGAACTATACAAAACCCCTGAAAACATCCCGCTATCTTTACCAAATCTCCTGAAAAATCAAGAATGTTATCCAATTTTAAATATTTCGTAAGAAGCACTATCGAAGACATTTCATTTTAGTAATGGAATACAAGAAAAAACAACTCTCAAGTCTTGGCTGTGTAGCGCATTAGTGCCTTTGGCTTTTTCAAGGGAAAAAACAGTACAAAAAAAAAACCATATCTATATAACATTGACTTACAAATAAATGGACGACGGGTCTAATACAAAAACCACGAAAAAAATGTCCCAAGTCAACCTATTCGAAATTTAAATTGTTATGTCATCGCAGTATCGCGCTGTCCGTAGAACAAATGAAGACTAAAGCGGAGTGTCGCGCTCTGTATACGATTTTAGCGCCTTACAAGTGCGGACACTTTTTAGCGCGGACCCGACGTCCATATAATTGTAAGTCAATGCTATATAACGACGAGTTTTGAAAATCGAAGATCAAAATGAAACTTACTCGTAGATGTTTGCACTGCAAGCCGAGACTTTTCCATCGTCTAAGGCCGAGACTGACATCTGAGTCAAAAGATGGCGGCTGTGTCTTTTTTGCGTTCCAGACGCATTCAGATACAAGCACGATATTTAAATAATTATGGTTGTGTGACATACATCCATGGATGGGACAAAAAAGTTGATCACATATTTAATATTTAATTTGACCATCTGAGGAATTACCTATTCGATTTAGATATATACATGTTTCTGTTTATAATTAATAGAAGTATTTCAGTTAATATTGTCATTTATTTTTACGTAATTCTTCGAAAACAAGATTTTTTCCCTTGCCAAGGTGATGTGGTTAGACACACGTGCGGGACATTTTCGAAGTTTTGAAAATTAGTAAATAAATATTAGGGGTTAAAGTATGAAATTGCCGTTTTATTGCAATAGGTTCTTTGAATTTTCATAGAATCTTCATGGTTTGAGGTTTTCGAATGAAACTTTTTTCAAATGGTTTCTGTGA